AGACCCAGATCCTCTAGCAGAGACCGGTCCACCGTGGACAGACCCAGATCCTCTAGCAGAGACCGGTCCACCATGGACAGACCCATATCCTCCAGCAGAGACCGGTCCACCATGGACAGACCCATATCATCAAGCAGAGACCGGTCCACCGTGGACAGACTCAGATCCTCTAGCAGAGACCGGTCCATCGTGGACAGACCCAGATCCGGCTTCACCTGCAGCCTTGGACCTGCAGTCGGAGCTCCGGAGGGAGGAGGAGAGCTCAGCTCCCGGCAGCAGCAGCGTCTCCTCCTCCTCCTCCTCCTCCTCCTCCTCCAGGAGCAGAGCTTCTCCTCTCTGGGAGCCAACACCGACACCACGCTGCTGGAGACGCAGGACGTATTGCTGGACCTGCTGGAGGGAGGGAGGGAAGCACGGGAGAACCAGAACCAGAACTGAGAGGGGCAGACTGTCAGACCCTGCTGCAGTAAAATGAGAGGTTTTCTAAAGGGACTATGGTGCTCAGAAACACTACCACTTTAGTCCACAGGGACCGCTAAAGTCACCACAAAATGAAAGTTCTTTAAATTTGAATTGTACAGCACCTGCTGTAAAGGGGTGTTGTTTCTTGTGATTCAACACTTTTTTTTCCAAACTGTTGTTTGTATCATGAACACACAGAACACAAATATTACACAGCGAATAACGCCATAATCTGTTTTCAGAATATTAATTATTCTAAGCTTTTGCACCGTAACTTAATGCTTCGCAGTCCAAAACCAAGATTGCAAACTTTATTAATCCTTTCAACCTTGACAAAAGCAGCACTCCTTCTGTTAAACGCTGTTGAGCTGTTTACCAGAGGGAACTCAGATTCACTCAGAACATTTTGCTAGAAGTAAACTCAACAAAACAGCTTACAGAAGGTTATACAACAGTTTACCTCAGACAGACTTCCAGACGCTGCTCTGGGTCAAAACGATCCTGGTAGTTAGTCGTCTGTCTGCACGTATCTATTCAAACCTTTTATTCAACAAGTGTAGCAACCATTGCAAATTATCCTCGCTGCCGATATGAAAATATTCACAGCAAAAAAAGCATAAAACAGAGTCTCCAGCCATGCTACCTGCTCTGTGAGGAAGCACTGAGGGGCTCTGAGCTAAATGCTAACGATGGCCTGCTAATGTTCTCACAATAACAATTAATGCTGATGTTTAGTAGGTACAGGGTTTACCATGTTTACCATGTTTCCAGATAAAGAAAAGGTGGCAGGTCTGGAGGGAAATGGGAGGAGGAGGAGGAGGAGGAAGGGGAGGGAGTGGCGGCGTTGAAGCCGAGGATGCTGGGAAATAGCAGGCCAGTTTGGCAATCTCAAAGAAAAGGTCTAATCCCCCGACAGGAAGTGAGGATTGTGCTGCTGTCTGAACTCAATGTGGAGAAGAAGAATCTGGAGTTTAACGTCAGCAGAGAGAAAGACTCCATCACAGACTCCTTTAATTAGACCGACGCGCTGCTCTCTCCTACAAGCAATGTTTGTATTTACACCCGTTTCATTTCCAATTTAGGAAGTTGTGACATCCAAAAAGAAATGTATGCAAAGTGTTTGACTTTACTGCTGGCTGTGATCCCGTCTCATGCCTCGAGTCAGTGTTGATTTATTCAGTATTTAACCAAGACCACAACCTTTCCCTGACATTAATAAAAGTGTTTGGCTGCAAAGGAAACCCGAAATACCTTACTCATGTTTTACTTGGCACAAGTATCGTAGGAATGAAACTTAGATATGTTTAATATTCTACAGATGGGCTTAATATTGCTGCAGCCCCGAAACAATACAGCGGTTAGAGAACCGAGCGGGTAGAAGTAGAGCAGTAATAGTTGCTGCTGTAAACTAAACTCTAAATATTTACTGGTGCTTCCGAGTGTCTCCTGAGGGCCCGCAGCGACCAGCATCTCTGAAACGGTTCGTTCTGCAGACAAACATGTCCACAGTTTAGATCAGTGCGACATCCAAAAGGGACTACAATCATTTCAAGCCCAAACAAGAAGCGTGTCGCGTTTAATGCATTCATTTAGATTCATAAAAAAACAAATCGCATGTTAACAAATGTAAATTAACGCACAAAATGTAATACGTTACAATTCATTGATCTCTAATTCCACCTTTAGGTATTTGTTTTCAATGCTTTAGTCATGTGTCACATCATGCTTTGAGTTAAAACATCTTCATTTGAGTGACATATCTGTGAATGTCTTTAAATCAGCATTTATATTTCTGCCCTTAAAGTCTCCATGTTCCCATGAATATTGTCTCTAGAACAAGACGACCGGCTAACAACATAATCTATCTCTGAGACATCGGCCTCCGGTCCCGGTGAGTCTTCACAGTCGTAGAAATGATTGGAAGATGAATGTAGTTTATTGGAGAAAGCATCGACGCATTCTGACTACTGCTGTTGTCTCCACTTTACTCATTGATATGAAAACATGAAGGACCTTCATTCAACAGACGGTGCAGTAGCATGCAAACATTAAGAGATCCTCAAGTTTAAAAACAGGTATGTAAAGCTGTCTGTGTCCTTGGTAACATAAATACGCTCTGGTTCTCTCCCACACATCCCTTTACGTTCCCTCACTAGAACCATCAGCTTAAATGGTTCAGAGAGTTGTAATAAAACAAAGATTTGGGTCGAGAAGTATCCAGTAATGTGGTCAATTATTTTTAAACTGAAAGTTATATAATTTCACTGCCTGTTATTACATCAAACTAAGTTAAACCCAATTTAAAATGGATGAGATAGAGATGAATTAATAGTTTATAGTTGATAGAGGTCACTTCTCAGGGGTCTGGTGTGAGAAAAAAAACATGTTTTCCTTCATATTATTCAAGTTTATTCAAATATGTTCAACTAATTAATTTGTCAAATTAAAAATCCCTTTAAGAAAGTTGTCAACGTATCTAAAAGAGAAAATGAACATCTGAAGATGTTTGACCTGAAAGATCTTTGCATTGGTTTTCATCTGTATTGTTAGCTACTCAGTTACACCACAATATGAGCTCTCCCCACATGGCAGAGAGGGAGAGAGGGTGCGATGGGAGGTTTGAGAGAAGGGAGGCGGGGTCTGTGTGTCCAAACTGGGATGTCCCACTGGAAACGTCTCCTGTGTGAACCGTTGAGGCTGTTAGATCGTCCTGGGGTCCCGTTCACAGCTGACTTGTCTCCTCTGTTGTCCCTGCTCTGCAAAGCTAAAAGGTAAGAGGTCTCACTCTGTCATGTGACTCAGATCTGGACTACTTCAGCAACCTCTAGAAGACTTTTTTCACTTAGAGAACTTAGTGGCAAACTCAGGTTTCAGTTGTTGTGTGATAATCCTGCTGCAAAATGTCACCTTGATGTTGGGGTTAGAAGTCTGCTGAAGTTTAACTTTTAAAATGAATTCACATTTCTTTGTCAGTTGAATAATCAGGTAAAATCTGCTTTTTATGCAAGTCTGACCAAAGTGAACCGAGATCTCTTCTTCTCAACATTCACCACAGACAGTTTGATGCTGCAAACTCAAAATCAAAATCCAGTGTTGGAAAAAACAACAACTCACACAACACATTCTCCAGCAGCTTTACACAATTTAAAGTTTAGAATGAGTGGACATCTGGTTTAACAAGCAGCTCCTGTGGCCTCAGACCCCAGTGAACAATCTCCTCTGTCATTACTGCCAAAACAGCTGCGAGGAAAATCGCTCCCTGCAGGTAAACAAGCTGTGGTTATGAGGAGACGTTGTGTGTGCAGGTAATTGTGTGCCACATCGGCAACAGGAGGGGAGGGGGGGGGTGAAGCTTGGGGGAGGAGGGCGATGCCGACACAAGCTGATATGCAGTTTAATTTGTGGACGCTCTTTTGTTTGGTCGCAGTATCTCCTGTCAAATAACGAATGCTTTGTAAAACTTAAAGTTAGGATGCAGAATCTGCTGCTCTCTCTTTGTTTGTGAAGAATTCCCAGTTTTGTCAAAGGATCCTGAAGGATTGATCGCTGTGAAAAAGTTGTTAAAATAGAGTAACTGAACAGAAGTGAAGAAAGAAGGGAAGGAGGAAGAGGAGGAGGAGGAAGAGGAGGAAGAGTGGGGGGTGGATGGGATTACAACAAAGCCCCCATGATCGAGCAATGGGAGCCTTTCTCCGACAAATCTCTCTCCTTTCCCTCCCTCCCTCCCTGCCTCTCTCTCTCTCTCTCTCTCTCTCTCTCTCTCTCTCTCTGAGATTACTCCCATGTAAAGGAATGTGGGTTGCCTTGACGATGGGTTACCAGCTGTTTAAAAAGGCTCCGTGAGTTTGTTCAGATGCCTTCAAGTGTCGGGGCGTCACCCAGAGGGAGAGCGGTCTGCAGAGAGAGGCTGAAATGTTTTGGTTTGAGGCCGTTCTTCATCCTGCAGCGAACGATGTGGGAACAGTTTCCTGTTGCATTAAGGAAGGTTTATTGTTCCCAGTTTGATGTGTTGACTGTGCGTAAAGCCTCCAACACCTCTGGGATGAACTGGAACGAGCCAGACCTGATCCCCCCAACGCGTTGAATGTTTTCTGTTACAAGTGGTGTGATTTGTCTTTAGATCCGTTTGAGTTGAGGTCCCAACATCCGGTGGAAAGTCTCCCTTCAGTAGAGTCAGTAGGAGTTGGGTGTGCCGGTTGTTGGAAAGAGACTTTTCAAACCTGCGCTCTAACCCTAACCCTCCAGATAAACAAAGGAAACGGGTCAGTGATGGATTAAAAGAGCAATTAAAAGACACGACAATACATTTAAAGTCGCCCTCCACTAAAACATTGCTCCTTCACATGGATGATTGAGCTTCACTGTGCAGAACTACTACTACTGAACATGTGTAAGAACAAGATGATTCGTGACTTCACAACTAGCTTGGAAGCCAATCACGGTCCTCAATACAAATAACACACGTGTGGACTTTTTAAAGTGTCTTAAGTGTCCAGCAGTTCAGCCGTATTGGCATATCTTCCCAATATATTTATTGTCGATGATACATGATGCTGCTATTCAAGTCCAGGACGCCGTGTTTATTTTAAGGTTCATGCAATTTTTTGCACGGCATCTTTGAAAACTAGAATCTCAAGTAAAGTCTTTGCAAGTTGTTTGAGTCCAATCTGAGGTGATGTCACGTGATGAAAACACGTTAGACTCTTCTCTCTGACTTATATCTCCGTCTTTTAATGAAGTTCTCCTTCACCGTGTTCGTCACACCTGTCTGAAGGACAAAGTGTCTCTGGCTGCTTAATTGTCAAGGTGGCCGGTCTGGAGGGAAATGGGAGGAGGAGGAGGAGGAGGAGGGGGGGGAGGAGGGGAAGGAGGGGAAGGGGTGCCGGCGTTTGAGCCGAGGATGCTGGGAAATAGCAGGCTAGTTTGGCAATCTCAGAGAAAAGCTCTAATCCCCCGACAGGAAGTGAGGATTGTGCTGCTGTCTGAACTCAATGTGGAGAAGAAGAATCTGGAGTTTAACGTCAGCAGAGAGAAAGAAAAAGATCGTGGATAGAAAAACTGGGAAACATGTTACAAGTTAAATAATAAAAAATAAAGCAGATAGTTAACAGAGCTGTGAGTCAACAGAAAAGGTGGAAAGAGTGACGGAGGTGAGGTTTAGAGAGAGAGAGAGAAAGAGAGAAACAATGTGGGTCAGTTCGGTTCAGACGGAAAGATCTCAGTGGCTTCAGGTTTGTCAGGAGTTGTTCAGAAAGTCTTTTGTTTGTCCGTCCAGCAGTTACATCACAACTCCACAGAGCTTCTTTTTATTATTGTAAAAGATGTCAGCTAACGGAAACTCATTCTTGATCTGGTTGAATCGCTGTTATTAGCAAATGTTAACACACTGAGTTGCTGCCCTCTGACCTCTCACAGTGTGCATACAACACAAAGACTGAGACAGATCGCTGGAGATGACAGAAGTCATTTCAACCTCAGATTTGCGCTGAGCGGATTTTGACTGATAACATCTACAAACAAGGATTTTAGCCGTTGAACCATTTTTATCTTTGCAGAGAGGCAGAGGCATAGAGATGTACATCAACACTTATGACAGTAATGTAAAAACACACAAGGAGAAGAGAGAGACAAGTGCGATCAAAGCCAAATGAAAGCATCATTTTCTACTTTTAAGTCTGTCATGTACGGTGACTGAGCAAGAATAGTGTGAGGCTCTCCTCTCTCACCTCTCCTCTCTTCTCACCTCTCTCTCCCCTCTCCTCTCTCCTCTCTCCTCTCTCCTCTCTCCTCTCCCCTCTCTGCTCTCCTGGTCTGAGCTCTTTGTGCTCAGAGTCTCCTGAGTGATCTCTGAAACTGCTCTTTGTCCGGGCAACATAAAGGGGTCCCCCCCCCCCCCTCCCGAACTCTCCAGGGGGATTAAACATGTCAGGTGTCTTATTGCTACCTGAGGAAGTCCAGCTTGGATTGGAGGGCTTGTAGTCGCCTCAGGTCACTAAGATCGACCTGTGAACTGACCGAGCTTGAAGACTCCCCCTCTGAATAAAGTATAGAAGCTTCCAATCTGGTGCATACAGTCGTATGCTGAATACTTCACAAACACATGCATCTTCCCTCAAACCTTTATATTAAAAATACTTTCAGGCTTGCACAGGCGTGCTACTCATCCGTGCAAGTACAGACTGTTTAAGAAGAAGTGTATTAAAGAGTGCTGCTCTGTGACAAACAAACGTTTATGACAGCGTGAACATAATCAGCAGAAGTAAAAATCTAACGTTAGATAAAAGAACTCCACCACGGTCACATGACTTCATGTCTCCTCCACTAAGCTGAAGGAGGAGAGTGTTCTAGTGACGACGCTTAGTCCTCCATTTAGACTTTTTTAAGATTCACCAGAGGGGCGTTCACTGACATGTTTTTATATCGTAGAACTAAGCGTTAAAATCTCTCAGCCTGTCTTAAACACAGACTTTATTTCAGACATTTAACCAAAAGCAAAAGTGCAAAAAAAGCTGAATCATTTCTGTGTTTTCTGACTTATTTATGCAGCTCTCCATTTTAAGTTTTTGTAAAAATGCATGTTTGTAAACGGATGTTTTGATAGTTTTGCTGTTGCTAAAGCGATCCCCATTTACTTCAATTCATCAACACTATTTTTCAAATTAGTTTTGAGTCTCCGTTCACCGTGGAGGCTATTTATTTATTGGTTTATTCGGTCAGGGTCAGCACACATTAATACAACATTCCTGTAAATGCGCCAGAGTTAGCCAAGAGGCTATTTTTCCTCTGTAGTCCCAATGAGGGGAAAACTTAGTTCTCTTCCAGAATTCGAGGTAACACGGGGTGAGTAATTGATTTACTCAACATGTGAAGTATGTGAAGTATTCTTTAAGACGATAAGGTTCTCTGATAATGACTGCATGTCAGTAAGTCTTTATCTTCTTGCAATTTCATTCCTTGCTTCAGGTATGAAAAATGGAGGTTTTTCATCGGATTTTGGATGCACGCTTAAAGTTTTGCGTCGCTACATCAGATGGAAACAAACTGCTGCACCATCCATCTGCATTTAACAAACCTCATATCTGGAGGGCATTTCAATAACTTCAAGGATTCTCCTTAATAATAAAAACCTCTGTCTCCGGAGCTCAACACAGACAGAGGAAATCACTGTTTCGTCTCAGAGCCTTCGCTGGATATTTGCATGCCTGTGTTGTTTGTCTGCACTGTTTGCTGGCAGACACACAGCTACAGGTTGTTTTTCCAGACTTCCAAACCCGCCTGTTATGTCACCGAGGAGCAGAAGAAAGAATTCCTCTAAATCTGCCCCCCTCTTTAAAGAGCAGACAGGAAGAAAGAGAGGGATATTAGAGAGGGAGAGGGAGAGGGCGAGAGAGAGGGAGAGGCAGATAGCAGCTCCAGGCAGGTTGTTTTTCCTCCACAGCCAGTTTACACTCGCTTACCTAACTAACCTCCCAAATTAAATACACTGGAGGAGAAAAAAGGAGCTCCTTCATGAGCCTGCAGTTTCCCTTTTAGCCTCGGCCCCTGTTTGATTATGAGAGCAGCTTTCCAAATAAAATAACTTGTTCTGCTGTCGCGTCAGAGCGTCCGGCCTCCGGCCTCCACTTTCCCAACGACTCTCCGACCAAACAGAATATAAGTGAACATACGACGGGAAACAACACGACCCTCCAAATCAAATACTGACCCCGCACTTTGTGGAGATGACACACGTTTTAAAAACGTTTTCCCCTTTTTCATTAAGCTCTCGCTCCCAAACACGCTACTTACACGTGCGTCAGAAGTTCTTTTTTTTACCTCGCTTTATTTGTATTTCTCTCTCAGAGACCTGTCCTTGTGTGCAGGTTGTTTGGCGACGTCATCGTCTGCGTCCTCTGCCAGCGTTTCTGTAATTTTCCAAGTCCGAGCTTAATGACCTCTCATCTCTGGACCTTTCGTGAACAGTGGTCACCGTTGTGAAAGTCCTGAGTGAAGCACGGAGCGACTTGTACTTTTACAGTAATCATGTTGCATCTAAACAGCTGTGATGTGATTTATTGTCTAGATTGTGAACAGAACTTAGAAAAATACATAAATAAAATAAAACACTTCGAGAGAAAGGTGGAAATATGACTACAGAACCTCTACCCTTCAAAATAAAAGGCTCACAATGCTCTGCTCATAATTCATAAACATCACACTGATGCATTGACGTTCAGCTGTTCTAATTATCTGATTCCTCATACATTTGGATATTGGGTCTCTGTTGTGATCTTGACACAAAATGGCATTTTGTGAAGTATTTTGAAGGATGTTGTGATTACAACATAATCGCTTCGTAATCACAAGATTCAAACAAATAATCCGCATTAGCTCGTTTTTTCTGTCCTATCATCAAACCGATCTCGTTTCAGCATCGAGAAGATTCCTCCGAGCAGAGACAAGACTTAAAGGAAGTCTGTATTAAAAACAATAAAACTCGTATTAATGTTAAGACGCGTGCATGATTGATTTAAAATGAGAGACTTCCTCCAAAGCTGCCGTGTAAATCAGCGGTAGTTAGCATAAAGGCTCTGTGTAGCTTTGATGTGTTGTAGCAGGACGAGGCTCTACAGGCGTTCTGATGATCATCAGATGATAAAAGCAGACCAGAGTCTCCTGAAGATAACGTTCCCTTAAAACCAAACTGGGTTGTGATTTACGTCTTAATGGAAGCGTATTTTGTTGTGGATGATGTTTGTTTTTAACGTGTGACGAATGAGTTTCAAATAAGTCCACAGGAGGACGTTGGGATGGTGGTCCTGGATGTCCTGTGTGTAGCTTTTTCTGTTTTGCTTTGTTTTTATTTACAACGTTAACAGCTTCAAACTGTTTCGAACTTTAACGACCATCCCGGAGAAAACAAGTTTCCCGCAAAACGTAATTGCGCGTGCAGTTCAGTTGTGTGGGATCCGGATTTTGTTGGGGACCGTTTTGGATAAAACGAGTGCAAACCTGCTCTCAAGAAAGAATGCTACATGTTAAACGAAATGATTACACTTTGACTATTTTCAGGTTGACAAAAGAAGGAAAATGTGCCCGCAGGTTAACACTCAATAATTATTTTGTGTCTCTTCGGGATTCGTCAAACGTGTCAACACTCGAGGTCGACTGTATGCTGACTTTACCCAAGTCTCTGCACCTGTCCAAACATGCTGCCCTATTCAGACGCTTCGTGTCAAGAGGCCCCTCCGACGTTTTGAAGGACGCCTGGCAACCGGCCAAGCAAAGCATTCCCCCCCCCCCCCACCAAACTCAAAATGTCAGGTTGAGTTTCCCTCAAGGTGATGCTTCTAGAGCCGAGGAATTCATCTCTCCTTCCTCCGTGTCTCAGTTCATAGATGCTGCACATGTTGGGATAAAAACAAAGAGGAAAAGCTGAATGTTCAATGAGAAGATTGGAAGTTGTATTGATTTCTTGTTGGTCTTATCCGAGGCGAAGGAATTGAAACTATTCCCAGCTCTGTTTTGTAACTCTTATTATCCCGCTGATCTCCTGCAGCGTGCAGTCTACTCACTTCAGTGTTATTGCTCTGCGTGAGGACTTTCCTTCACAGCGGAGGAAGAACTCAACAGGAACAAGAGATCCTGTGTTTCTGATATCAAACACAAACAACATAAAGGAAACGGGGTGAATGAAATGACAGTTAGACCTTTGATCTCTGCAGTCGAGACACTTTAAATAAACCACACGTCCTTTGATGTCAGGAGGACAGAGATCGTTTCTGGATGTCTGGGTTAAAACAGCGGATTCAATGGAGGTGCAGAGGGAGATAAGTACTAGAGAAAGAGGGAGGAAGACCAAGCAATGTCATGCTCCGTTATGGAACAAAGAAGCCCTTGTTTAGTCCTTCAGACCAGACGTGATAGAGGAAGAGAAGCAGGGAAGAGGAAGGGTTTCCAGAGCTCAACACCAAACGCTCAGACAATCAGATATGAAGAGGAGAGCAAGAAAAGACAGATAGGGGACTCATCTCTTATACATATACATATATATATGTATATATATATATATATGTACCTATATATGAACGTAGTGTATTCCATGTGATAAGTAGAGCCTAGTGTGTAAACTTGACAAGGATGTAAAAAAAAAAAAAAGAAATGTTTGTTTTCATCCATTTGGCTAATAAGAGTGAAAATGAACGGTTCCTTTTCTCTTTAGTCTGGATCCGTTTCTGGATCCTCTAGCAAGCGGTCTTGGACCGATTGTTTTGGTCCGCACTAGAGTACGATTACATTGTTTACAACTTCCCAAAGTAACTGCACCAGAGTTTGATTAAACTAGACTAAATGTTGGACGCATTCTTACATAAATCCCCCCAAAATGGTGCTAAAGAAAGTTTGTATTTGTACATAAACAATATTGGTCATAAGACTTAAACAACTATGGTTACAGGCCAGTTTTCAAAAATGTGTGTTTATGTTCAAAATTGGCAAACATTTTTTTTAAATCTCAAATGATGACATTGTTATTGGTCTCACAGATACAAACACAGTGCTGCACGGGGCTCTAATCGATGGTAGTATAATAAAAACAGGCTTTGTGTCCTTAATGATTTGAAACATGTGTGCAACATATTCACACACAACTCAGTGCAATCAGCTACTGTGCTCTCGCTCTGATTTATGCTCCAGAATGAGAGAAGATCCCCGTCAGAGGACGAGAGCATGTTCTGAGAGAGACTTTTCAACAAACCCACACACGGCCAGAGGCTTTCAACACGAGCTGCCAGTGAACAAAGCGGACAGTGAGGCTTTTGTTTGGGGAACTGGAGAGCTTCCATTAGTCTGTCACAGAGAGTTGTGTTACAAGTTGTGTCCAGATGCTTCAGTTGTCTTCAGAGAGGCTGCAGGGCTTCATGAGCGTAGGGTTGGATGTTGGTTAGGATTCAGAATCAGATACTTTTTATTGATCCCGCTTCTAATCCTGATACTGATTATTCTCATTTTAGTACATAAAGAAACTTAAAAAGAGAGAAAGTAAAACAAATACAGCTGTGGCTTAGTAATAGTTTGTGTGAATGTGACGATAGGATTGAAATAATAAGAAACTGGGTTCACTTGTCCGTCTGTTTGTCTCCACAGACTTTGAAGATGAGGATGTGGATCGTCTTCCTCCTGTGCCTGGCTGGCCACGCCATGGCTGCTCCTGTAAGTGATGCTGTGTGTGTGTGTGTGTGTGTGTGGTCTGCTTTTGTCTTTATGAGCATGTTCCTCTCTTTGTTGGCTTTCCTAAATATCTCCTCCTTTCCTCTGTTGTTAACAGTTCACGTGTGAGTTTCCATGTGTGTTTTCCTATCTATGTGCACTTCCTGTGTGTGTGTGTGTGTGTGTGTGTGTGTGTGTGTGTGTGTGTGCATGTGTGTGTGTGTGTGTGCGTGTGTTCTTGTTGCAAGTCTGTGAACATTGCTCCTCTGAGTTTTCATATGCATGAAGATTCAAAGTGTGTTTTGAGGGTGAGGTCATTGTCTGCTTCTGACTTGCTTCACTTAAGTGTTTTTGTTTTAATCTATTAGTACTCACAAGTGTGTGTTCATGTGCAGAAGTAATAATGTTTAATGTGTGTGTGTGTGTGTGTGTGTGTGTGTGTGTGCGTGTGTGTGTGTGTGTGTGCGTGTTTGTGTGTTCCAGACTGAGGAGGTGCCCATCTTGGAAGAGCTGGTAACTGAGGAGCCAGTTGTTGAGGTCAGTCCAGATGTTCATCATGTTTTTTTATTTTCTCCTTAAAAGCTGAAACGGGTGAAACCATGAAACTTCCCCGGTTGATTTCTTTTAAGACAATTATTTTTTTGCAGAACCAGCTTCCATTTAAATATGCAGATAAGCCACGAGCTTCTCAAATATAAGAGCACACCTTTGTTACGTTCATAGAGAGGATAAGTCTCTCTAATTACTTATTTTCAGTCTAAAAGCCCGAAGACACCAATGACCGAGGTTTTTTTTATCCGTCAACCCCCCCCCCCCCCGATGTGTAAAGACCTCTAGACTCCAAGAGTTAACGACATATTATTTTTCAGAATAAAGTCCCATGTTGTTGCACCAGAAGTGGAGGCACTTCGCCTCTCTTTACTGTCGTTACACTGATCGTTTTTTGGGAAACTCGACCTAAATACTTTTGCTGTCGTCTGAGTTTGATTTGGCCTCAGTGATGCTCTTCCTGAGCCAGGCAGCTGCTCGGAGAGATGATCTGATCTGTGATGGAGCTCCGGTGGTTTCAACACTGCAGCCAAAGAAGCTCAGTGGTATTTGTTCACGTGACGGTGGAGGAGACGCCCACAGCCGAATTACTCGTTCAGCCTGTGACACAATCGGTCCGTCACAGAATCATTGGAAACTAAATACAAGTCGTGGAAATTAAACTGAACTAACTGAAAATGTTTGAAGGGTTGGCAAAAGTAATGTCTACCTTTGACCCTTTGTAAAGATGGACTTTTTATGGTTTCATTCAGAGGGTCTTTACATGCCGAAAGAAGTGAAAATCTGCAGCATTTCAGGGACTCATTTTGACCTCCAGATTGAAATAATCTGAAGAGTTCTAAAGTTCAACAAAGATTCTCCAAATTCTAATCACCAAATATCCATTTGTGATCTCTGGCTTTTGTCAAATCTTTCCAACAAACAGAGAGGGATGAAAACAGGAAAATCCCTCCTTCTCCGTCCTTGATTTTTCCTTAAGAGGAGAAATAAAAGTATTGTAAAAGAGACACACAACACTAAACCTCCAAAACATCCTCCTTCATGTGAACGTTATTTTCCTTTCCTGCTCCGGAGGTCCAGCGGGACCAGAGATCCCACAGCTGTTAGTTTTAGCCGGTCATGACAGGAAGCCGTTACGTTCCTCATGGCTCCACCTCATGTGGACCCAGCTGCTTGTTATTGTTGGATGTATTACGGCCTCGCCGCTCCCACATTCTGTTTGGCCTTCAGGGAGGAACCTTCTTTAGCGGTGACGTTTAAACCTTTTTTCTTTCTTTTTTTTGAGGAAAACCAGGGATATTTAAGCGGTTTTACTTTAAGTGGACGTCGTGCAGAAATAGACCTGAAGACTGTTGCACGGACATCATGTGCAAGAAGGAATTCAGAGAGTGCATTAAGAGAAAACTTCACTCTCGTCGCTTCGTACCTCACAACATTAAAATCCTCAGCATGTGACTCATGAAGCTTACGGTCTGACCTTTGACATCTGATATTCCTCCAGGAGCCCGAGGTGGGGGCCAACCCGGTGCAGATTGAGATCGGAGAGTTCGATGAGGCCATCGAGATTGTTGAAGAAGAAGAAGTTCTTACTGAGAGTAAGTTCGTAAAAACACTCGGGACGACATGACATTGACTTGCATCAATTCCAGGAGATTTCTCCGGTGCAATTAATTTGTTTTCACATTGTGCAGAATGGACATTATGTTGTACAACAACACAGAGAGTCCGAGAGACAAACTTTATTACTCCTTTCAACCTTGACAAAGGCCGCTCAGACCAGATCCACTCCTTTCATTCTTACCTTTCACAATAAAAGCCCTAGACATAGACACTGCGTAACTGTTTACCAGAGGGAAGTAAGCATTTCACTAAACAGAAACTCAATAAAACATCTTAGAGTAGCTTTAGGCTAAAACAACAGTTAACCTCAGACAGACTTTTATTGCAATTGTCACATAATTTTCGTGTTATTTATTAATCACGCCAATCATTTTCCAATTAATTTAATTCATTAATTTCTTCTTTGTAATATGTTTTAAAAATAAATACTTAAAGCAGCAATATTTTTTATAATAACATCTTCTTGACAAGTAAAAGTTCTGCTCGAGAATCAACATTTAAATGTAGTTGTGTGTAATCAAAAATAAGAGAATTAACTGTTTGTTCATATCTGTTTATTCATATTATAAGCAAGTAATAAAAGTTGTCTACAAAATTTGTATAAAGGTGTATACTAGTATAGGCTAGGGAAGTAAAAGTTGTGAAAAAGATTAAAACTTCAATAGAAAGTCAATCACTGTGTGTATTTGCTTCCACACGTTCATAAATGTGGTGCACACACACTCTACGTAGATTCAGAGTCACATGACCTCAACATGAATCCTTTAGATGGAGACGTTTCCAGGTATAAATGTGTCACGCTTGTTGCTCTACACGTCGACCGCCTCTTTTTACCGCGACAACATTTTGATTTAGCATGCTGGGTCGCAGACCTCAGACTGGCAAATCAAACATCCCATAATAACAGCCCGGCTGTAATTACACGTTCCAGCTGGCTTTAAGTGCAGCTCAGCCGCAGTCTGTACAACGTGTACAGATATCTAGTTATAACTCCTTCACTTCCTTTAAAAGTACCACAATTATAAACAAGTACTTTATTCTAAGTATAAATGTATTGCATTTAAGATGAAAGCATCTACATCTAAACAAATCTACTTCATAGTGTTCTCTTTATATATTGATATTGTGAGATATCTCTCACCACGCCACACATTGAAAAATACATTTTAAAACAATCGATAGCAACAGAAACAAAGTCCTTTTTAAATATTCCTTAATCCTCCGACATATGAAAGATTTCATTGTGAGTTTGCTTCTGGCCCTGGAGGACCGGACAGCGGAGTTATTTCCTGAGAAATAACTCCGCTTCTGTACGTCTGTGTTCTTCCTACAGATCCCTGCCTGAACCACCACTGCAAGAAGGGCAAAGTGTGTGAGGTCGACGAGAGCAACCTCCCCATGTGTGTGTGCCAGGACCCCTCCACCTGCCCGGCTGCCGAGGGAGAGTTCGAGCACGTGAGTTTGAAAAACAAACCAGACATTTCTTTAAATTGTAAAATCCGTATTTATCCTGTGGCTGTGAACTCACCACCGAGGATCAGTTAACATACAACCTCAAAGAACCACAGAACAGACTTTGATGACTGACAACTCATCCGTCTGCATTTCCCCTTCTCAGGTTTGCGGCACCGACAACAAGACCTTCGACACCTCCTGCCACTTCTTCGCCACCAAGTGCGCCCTGGAGGGAACCAAGAAGGGCCACAAGCTGCACCTGGACTACATCGGACCCTGCAAATGTGAGCTCCCACACTCTGCTTCTCAGTTTCCCAACAGAAGTTACAGCTCAGCTCTCTCTGTGTTCCAGCGTTTTCTTTAATTGTTGGGCGGTTCAGATTCTGTCAGGTCTGGGCCTGCAGGCTGCATTTCTTCCACTGTTTAAACTGAACATGGCACACACACACACACACACACACACACACACGCTCAGTTTGAGGAAATGAGTCAGGGCTGAAAGGCTCAAATGGGGATCAAGGTGCTGTTCAGTGCACAAGAATAACAATTGAATGTATATATTATATATATATATATTGAGGATGAAATGTTGAGACCATAGATGAGACCGAGATGCAGATATTTTTTCTGCAGTTTGCTGATAATTGTTTTCATGGCACTTAAAAGGTTTAAAATGTCATTTTTTTCATTGTGCGGTGGGTGACATAGAGACACCGTATACGTCTCTGATAGCGACCTGTGTAGCCCCGCCCTAAAGCATCCCCTGCTTTATGGTCTGTGTGACTCTAAATGGAGCATAATGTACTAAATGAACATCATGCTGTATTGAAGAAGACTTGAAACTAGAGATTGAGACCATAAACTCATGTTTACAATGTTTACTGAGGTAATAAATCAAGAGAGAAGTAGAGTCATTTTCTCATAGACTTCTATACAACCAGAGGAGTCGCCCCCTGGTGGACACTAGAGAGAATGCAGCTTTAACACATGAAGCTTTGACTTCACTCTTCAGAACCGGAGGTTCCCGATGTGCTACAGTAATGACCAATGATCTGGTGACATGCCAACAAAAGCCTTTTAAAATGGAATGCAGCTTTTTTGACTGATTAAAGCTTTTATTCAGATGATTATCACAAACTACTTCCAAAGCAAACCTCAATTAAATTATGAATCACACATCCAACTGACAGCGTTTCCTCCCCACAGACATCGAGCCCTGCATGGACTCCGAGCTGAGCGAGTTCCCCCTCCGTATGAGGGACTGGCTGAAGAACGTCCTGGTGACTCTGTACGAGCGCGACGAGGACAACAACCTGCTCAACGAGAAGCAGAAGCTCAGGGTGAGTCCAGAAAGTCACTAAGACCTAAGTTAAATCAAAGGGATGTGGATGGAATAATGCACAGGACTACGTTTTATTGTAGATAAATCCTCCTGGCAGTGAGGCAACAAGGTAAAATAAGGGTTAAAAGCCAACACAATATTCAATACAATGCAGATACAACATCTTATAAACTATCCATTACAGAAGACATGGTATTATCAAGTGTTTTATGTGTTTAAATACAGAAGTCTGTCATTTTAATGAAAGTGCGTTTCATTTAGTCGCCTGTCAATGGCGTCATGTCCCCTCTCGACTTAATTTATTTGTGAAAGGAGACTAATAGTCTACATGTTTTCACAAACTGCCTTATATAAGAAGACACTTCACACAAAGAACAATTCAACTGAGTAAGAATAAATCCTCTCACAAGAGAAATAAATCCAATAATGTCACAAATATTGAGAGACATTTCCATCAACAGTGAAGGTAAAGATTGTAGACGGGTTCACCAGACACACTGATTGACAGGTCTCTACCAGAGACGTACACGGCGTCTCTACGAGTCCAAATATGGTCACTTCTGTTTCACAAACCAGTGGGTGACGTCACCGTGACTATGCTCTTATATACAGTCTGTGCTCCAAGTCGCTCGCCATCGACATCTAAACGGTGCATCAACGTTTGTTCTTGACGTGGGTTGTGTCTGTTTGACGTTTCAGGTGAAGAAGATCTTTGAGAATGAGAAGAGGCTGCAGGCTGGCGAGCACTCTCTGGACCTGCTGGCTCACGACTTCGAGAAGAACTACAACATGTACATCTTCCCCGTCCACTGGCAGTTCGGCCAGCTGGACCAGCACCCCGTCGACGGGTACGTAGTGGGAGGGAACAGGGACGGGGCGGCGGGTTCAGAGTTTAACCGGTCGGTGTGGTCGTAATCAACTAAGATCTCTTTAGTCACCCAGTCAGTAGTTATTTTTCAAGCCGAATAACTTATTTATAAGGAATTTATGAACACATTTCTGGAAAACACAAGATTTAAAGTGGTGCTTTTTTTGTGGTTCTTTGTGGAGAAACTCACTTTACAGATCTGCTGATTAAAATAAACGAAATGATTACAGCTTTATTATAGCAAGGCTCATTCGGCCTCCACATCTTTCTTTCATAGACTGGAAAATAGAGTGCCTTTTGGGCAGATTCTGCAAGTCAGCACATGTTGGGCCTTTAATATCAGTGCTGCTCAGGCAGCGGTTGAGCTTGAGGCAGACTGAGAGCTGGTTGGTTTCCTTTAATCTCACACCACAGCATCACTGATGGATCCAACAGACACCAGCTGCCGTTCACTTTAGAGCTGCTTGCTCCAGAAGACGATGACGTGGCTGCTGGACTCTTAATGCACCACCCAGAACACACGTTCTACTTTATGCTAGTGCTAACAGTGTGATACAGTAAAAGAGCTGAAGGGAAGGTGTTTAAGGAGACAATGACATCGTTGAAACATATTTTATGTAAAAGCAGACAGTTTGTGGATGAAGGTGACTTTCTGTATTTTGTTTTTAACTTGATCACAAACAAAGATCCTGATATTTTAAAGCTCCCTCTGGGATCACGAGACAAACGTCGGTCTTCATATTTTCTTATACATTTTCTCACGATTTCAAAATAACGTCGAACACACACCAGTGTGTGTGACCTGTGGCGAGTCTCCATGCAATGTCTAAAATAAATCTCAGCGAGCTGCGGACATTTTTGATTCTGCGGTTGGAAAAAGTTTAACTTTTAGCGGTCGAAGTGCGGACAGAGAATACCCCCACAGCCAATCAGTAGACAGAGTCCTGTGACATGTTCAACAAAGAATTTGTTCCCGCCTGAAACACATGAACCGGCCTCCCGGCTGCAGAAAGATGTAATTATTTTTGGCGAGCCGCACTTTGCCGCTGCCTGGTGTGTTTTCGGTGTAAATAAATACTGTAAAACAGAAACACAGAAATTGAAAAGCATTCCATTGTAAAAGTCATTTCCTTGTTGTGTGTATGCGACGCAGGTACCTGACCCACACAGAGCTCTCCCCCCTGCGCGCCCCTCTCATTCCCATGGAGCATTGCACCAGCCGCTTCTTCGAGCAGTGCGACGCCGACAACGACAAATACATCGCCCTGGAGGAGTGGGCCAACTGCTTCGGCATCAAAGAGCGTGAGTATCGACCACATGCGTGAAGACGATCGCCACGCAACAAAAGAATTATTAGTTTACCCAGAAATATGAACCTCTAAATATAATTAAAATAAATGTGCTGACGGATGTTTTCTGTGTGTTTGCAGAGGATGTGGACAACGACCTCATCGTCTAAGCTGCCAGCAGTCTGACTCCGAGTCGTTACTAACGGGACGAGGTGCTGATCCCTAAGTTAAACAAATAAATCACAGTAACGGTGCTAATTGCAAATTCCTTTTTTTATTTTGTTTTTAAATAATGACCTTTCCTGCATATACCACTAAAAAAAAAAAAAGATTACAAACAGAGAAATGTGCACAGTCTGTACTAACCATCTTTGAATTCTCTTGTTTGTTGAACAAAACACCCAGTAAAGAAAACTAAAGACCTCTGATGTAAATGTATGTTGTTGACAATAGTATATATGTGTTATGGATTATGGATTTGTTCAGGGCTTCAATTTGAGATCAATTTGAGACAAAACTGTAAAGTCAAAAAAATAAAGTTTCTAAATAAATGCTCCCTCTGCTTGCTTTCTACACAACCTATTAGTTTTGCACTCTTTTGGTGGTGGACTCTTTATTCTTTTGTGCTTTTATTTTGGTTTTTGATCTTTTGACTACTGCTTTAAGAGTTGTTCACTTTTATTTTCCGTGCAGATTCCTTGTCCCAGACGACGACGCGCGTGTACTGATATTTGAAACAATAAAGAGGATATATGTTTGGACCTTTTAACGAGGGGAAAGTCTCGCAGGCTGAGAGTTTTTTTCTCCTAATTAAGATGTTTCGTCTGACACTGAGAGCACGACCGAACACTCACCATGAATAAAAGACTATGAAAAGATCTCTGCATGCATTCATATCTTTCTCCTCCGCTACAGTCAGGAATTCCTGTTGAGACGATCACGACAAAGATCAGCACGGCTCCGCGAGTCTCAAGGAGGCCGGTGTGTTGACCACGTTGTGTCACATTGTTATCTCTTTGTGAGTCACTTGGTTTGTATCCTGTGTCTTTGTGCAGCAGTGATGCTCTTACAACCGTCTCTTTATGAGTTGCAGTTTATTTGTCAGATTCTCAAATCTAAATTCTTGTTAAGTGTTCAGCTTTCTGGATAGAAAAAAGTAAAGTTCATCGTCTTGGAACTCAGATAATTCCACAATGTTCGGGCTCATGGCATCTTGCACAGTCAATGTTTCACATATAAAATGCAACATATCCTTAAACGACAGCTCGTATGATGGCTTATAAAAAGTTATTTTTCTTGTGTTTTCCTGCGATTGTCCAGCGACATGAACGATCAGTGCTCCTGTAAAAGCTCCTGTAGTGCAGAACCTGTTTAGGGAACAAAACTACTCATTTAGGTTTACAAAAAAACACATTGTGCTTTGGGTTGAAGACCTGAGAGACTGTAAGAGACCTGTCAATCACCGTGTAGCCCCGCCCTAAAGCATCCCCTGCTTTATGGTCTGTTTGACTCTAAATGGACCATAATGTACTAAATGAACATCATGCTGTATTGAAGAAGACTTGAAACTAGAGATTGAGACCATAAACTCATGTTTACAATGTTTACTGAGGTAATAAATCAAGAGAGAAGTAGAGTCATTTTCTCATAGACTTCTATACAACCAGAGGAGTCGCCCCCTGGTGGACACTAGAGAGAATGCAGCTTTAACACACTTCCTCATTGGCTTCACTCAGCAGAACCGGAGGTTGCCGCCTGCTCCAAATCGCATGCATTTATTTTCGTACGAACAGCGAATGAACGGCCTGATGTGTGTGAAGGGTTTCCACGCCCCTCTCCTGTCACATGGTCATTTAGTGTCTGAACTTCTCCCTCCACGCCGCAATCATCTCATGTTCCTCGTTAGACGTTTGTCGCTTCTCATTGAAAATAATTAGTAAGCGGCGGGCGGTGGCTTGGCTTTGCTTTTGGCCCTTTAAAACAAACCCAAATCACAATAAAACGAGTCTCAAATGTCTGTAAAGTGCTGAAATATGCCGTTATGTTGCTCCTCCTCACTCATAATGTGCATTCAGAGATACTGGAACACAATGGAGTTAAACCTAGAGTGCACACTTGTATTTAGATTCTCTTGGAAATAGTTTACTTTGAAAAGATGAAAAAGGTTTAGACAATCAAACATGTTGAAAAATGTGTTTGCCTTAGCAATAAGCATACAATATGTATGTATTTCTTCTTATATTATTAAAGCAATGAACTTCATCCCAAACAAAGAGGCCGTAAAACAATAAGAAGCAAACAACGAGAACCTTTTGTCCTAAACAACACTGTAAATATTTGATTTTACAACATAACTGCACGGCTGATATATGAATAAAGTCCTCCGTCTGCGCTGCACTTGACGGCTTCATTTTGTAAAAGGGCACCGAGCTGCTCGTGGTCCCCTGGGAGACGAGCGAGGGAGAGACGGAGCACCCTGTTACCATCCTCACCCGTTCATCCAGACTCCAGTGTCAAGAATGTGAAACAACAGCCGGGGCCACACAGGCCCCTCCCCCTCTGTGTCTCAGAGAGGGCACAAAGGCCCCGGTATGGTGCTGTAACGTGACACCTCTTCTTCTGATGGAAGTCTTTGCTCAGTTAATTAACGTGTCTTTGATCTGCTTTTTGCTGTAAGTTGCTTTTAAAATTAACTTAATTTAGGCTCAAACACACACTAGGACTTTGCTTGAGCTTGTTCCACCTCTTAGTTGAACTTCATCTAAAAAGTGCATAAAAAACACTTATTATAAACATGTTTTTTGTTGTTGGAATAAGCAGTAGTCTTCCACACGATGTTCTGACATGTGGAACGATCTCAGCTTTAAAGTCGTAGTTCAGATAGTTTGACCTGATAAAGCACAATTTCTACAAAGTCTGCACACAGAAAAAACTAAATACAAAATATTTTACATCTCTTGCAAGAACAAACATCACAAAAAAGTCTTCTAAAATTGTATTTTTGCATCACAACTTTACACACAAACCCTAAATAAATAACTCTCCACATGCCAGCAGCACACTGATGTCTTTGGCATCTATGAACACAAATGCTACGAGTTTATTCTTACTCACAACAGAATGAGACACAATAACTTTAACTGAAGATCACATGAACATAAATACTGTATTGTAAATAAAATACAGTATATAGTAACACACTGTACAGTCACTCAAAATCTGGCATTGTTGCTTTTACACACACACACACACACACACACACACACACACACACACACCACAGAGCAAACCTGAATCCTATTTATAGAGTTCAAGCCCTGATTTCTAAAGGATCTAATTGGTTACAGGTGTTTTCACAGCTGCATTCTGTGATTAATAATTGAGTGTGGCGTTTAAACAGCAGTGTTAAGCAAAAAACATCACACACAGGCTTTTTAATGATGTGTGTGATGTATTAACCGCTTGAAGTTATTTGCAGAAAGTATGTTTTAGGATTTCAAATTTAGTGTGAAGCAGAAACCGTGCTGATGGTTTATAGAATTGATAAACGAGCCTCAAGTAGCCTTGAAGTTTGATACTATTTGTCAATAATTTTCTGTTTTTGTTCTTAGGAACCACATATTTGCTGACCAAAGGCCCTATATTCATGTGTATCAGATGGTTTAAGGTAATTAGTTTTTGTAAACATTGAACATTAAATCGCAGTATGAACTGCAATAATGTGAGATTTTAAGGAAAGTTTTGCAGTCTTTCAGAGCTTGCACCTAAAAGCACATCTCACAGACAGGTGAAGATGAAGCTTCCTATTGTTAAATAAACCAACCAGGTGGACGGTCACAACAGGTAAACGCATCCAGAGAGTGGCAAAGGCATTATTTAACTGTGGATCAAGTAGAGGCAAACCAGACTAAATGTAAATGTGCCGGTATGGAAATGAGGAGCAGGTGGGCAGGTGATGTGAATGGCGGGAAAAGGCTAACTGCAGGCAGGGACAGATTAGTGTGTGACACAGAAAACAGAGCCAGTAACTGCACGCACGTTCAGGATGTGACTGAGGTGATTTGTGACTCCAAATAAAGGGTTTTCTTTAAAGCTGACTGGCAGGATATGCGGGATTTCTGCTCTTTGACATTTAACACCTAGTTAAACTGTTATTCGATGAGTCATCCGCTGTAATTAAAGTCAGTTAAAATACCGAATAACGTTTTGTCGCCCCTAAGCGGTGAAGAGGCTCCGGTACACGAAGCTCAAAACAACAACCGGCACGTACCGGCCGATGAAACCATCGCACCTCAAATCCATTTACTGTGACGTGATAGGCCCCCTATCGCGAAAATCCCAGGTTCAGACACAGCGCTTCGTGATTGGCTGTGAGTTAGAAGCTCCCGCCCCTATCTGTGTAAGCGCTAAAGCAATTGGTGGATGAGTCTCACAGCTTTAATTTGATTGGCTTAGACGGCTCGGAAGAGGCGGGATGTCACGTTCGGTTGCGGAGAATGAAAACCGGTAACCTAGCACTCCAGCACGTTGTGAAGCCGCTAGCGTCTCCTGGCTGCTGTCGCTGTGGTGATTCAAAGAAATCACTTGTTTCTTGATCGATTTTTTCTTTTGATAGTTGACCCGCAGGTAAGTTATTCTTTTTGACAAACTGTCACATGTTTTTCGTAAAAAAAAAAGGAGGAAATAGGGTGTTTTCCTGTGTCGTAATTGGCAGATTAACTGGGTCGCTTTTTTACGGCTCCGTCTACATCCTGGTGAGGACATGATGGCTGTTAGCACTGCGGTCATATTAAATTAAACGATACGTGTTATGGTAATGAACTCGAAAGTAGAGGCCGGTGATGGAAGTAGTTGTTTGCTATGTTGGAATATTAGGATATAGCCGTTTAACTTTGTTTTTTTCCAGGAGATAGCCACCGCCCATGTGTAGCCCACTTAAGAGCTCTCATTCAGTCGTGACTCCCTCCCTTCGTGTGTTTCTCTTCTTGGTTGCCAGTTTTGCATTTTTCTCCACAATCCTCCACCATATGCGCTCACTGGTTTCTCCTCGGTTCTGATCCGGTTAACCGGTTAACTTGCCACGGAAAAACCCGAGACGTGTAGCCCGTGAACCGGCCGGTGGACACGTGTTGGGGCTGCTGCACAAACCAAAGCTACATTAGCTGGTGTCTGCGCTAGTTTTTTGCGGGTTTAGCTCCGTGTGGAGCAGCTATTAGGCTCTTTGAACCCAGGGTTATATCTGGTTGGTTGGACTAAACCCTGTAACTATTAAAAAAAAAAGTCCCACCGACGTGCAGAGCCGCCATGACCGGTGGATGAGTGCGCGTAAGGCCGGTCGGTGCCGGTCACTGCGTGGCCTTTTGTCTGCCTGCCATGCTTTGCACTTTCTTTTTACACAAACTGCTCTGTGATATGGCTGCTGTGGTGCAGCTTATGCCCTTATATGCACTTCATATCTTCAAATACACTTGGACCCCCCCCCCCCGACTGACGTTAGCCCTGAGATCCCGGGGCACACCTTCAGCTCTTTTGGGGCTACTCCTCTTCAGGCTTAGCCTGGTGGATAATGTGCTGCTGGTGTGCTGGGTGTTAAGTGTTTGCCAGGACAGCAGATGGTGGTGGTGTGGACAGACAGGTGTGGCAGACAGACAGTCTATTTAAGACAGTACCAGTGGGTCTGCTAGTTTTAGCCTCCTCACCATAGATTAACCTCCACTATTAGACCATACTGTGTGCTCTATATCGTTTTTAAAGGGTAAGTCTGCAACCTAGACCTCCATTGTTGTCCCAAAACACATCATTGAGCCACTTCCACATGCACTTAAAACACTGAATCTGCAGCTGTAAATGATCCCCATGAAATGCATTATTCACACAGTAAAGTTCTCTCGAAACTACGGCGCCTTTTATAGAATAAAACTACATCTTTGTGTCCTGCTGGGAAAGGTTTGCATCCTCAGTAAGACTTTTGGGGTTAAGTGCAATAGACGAAGTGAGATTGTTGGTTTTGGTCTTCTCTTTGGACAAACGTAGAACATCACCAGTCCTACGTATCTTTTATTGTTATTCTACATTCCAGACGGGGACCAGTTTCACATCAGACTTGAAAGTTGCTTTTAATTGGCAATCCATCAAAACCCGACAGGCACACAGGCTCCATGTGCAAATATTCATGTCGGTGACTGTTTAATGGCACCAAGTCGCATAACCACGTTAAAAAAAAAGTACAGGAAACTGAGGAATGTGGGTGTGTTACCGTCAAAGTTAACATCACCATAAACCTTCCGTCCTGGAGCGTTATCAGGGCGTTGAATCTGAAAACACGGGTTGATTTTGCAGTGTACACACACACACACACAGTGGTGGAATCAGTGAAGGGAACAAAATGTCCTCATAAAGACGGGAGTTCTGGGACGCTTTTTAGGTCAGGATCGTGTGTCCAGTTTATTCATGTAGAGCTGCACGGTTATGTCCAAAAAGACTTATTTTTAGACATCTCAGTCGATGGTGTACATTTTAGTCTTCGTGATCGTTCAATTACCCGTGCAGCCGTATCTCGGTTTCATTAACGATATTAAGCTGAAATGGTTTAGTTTGTGGAGTCTCTTCAGTCACAATAAGTGACGGTTAGATCGGCTCGAGTTGAAGGTTAAAGGGCACCAAAATAAAACCACATCAGCATATTTCAGTCGACGTTTGAAGGCCAAATAGTACAAAACTTATACCAAAATGTCCATGATTTAAACAAAATAAATAAAAACCTTGTGTGCTTTCTAAATGTGCATTAAGGTTCATTTGAGAGATGTAGGCAGTAGAAGAAATTACATTTAAGTGGAATTTCTTTTTCGCCACTCGGTATGAAAACAAAGTGTGTGTGTGTGTGTGTGTGTGCATGCGCGCAGAAGCTTGTCAGAATCAGTCAGGTTTGCAGATCAAACACACTTCTCGCTGCAGGTGCTTCAACGCGCTCCAGAGAAATTAATTAAAACGAGTCTGGATGTCGTGTGCTGTTGTGAAATCAGAGGTCACATTTACCGAACCTGATTTCCACTTCAAACCTCTCCGACTGCTCTCTGTGGGGACGCAGGATGACTCATCATCACATGTACGTCTTTCAGGGGGGTTGTTGGCTGCTGAGGCGTGTGTGATTATCAGGGAGCAAAGACACAAAACATCGCCTGACGTCGGAGCTCAACGCTAACTTCTAAAAGCCCAAGAACTGTTTGTCAAGTTGTCATTTACAGTAGCAACCATTTTAAGAAACTGGCAACCAGCTCGTTGCTTACAACAGTAGTCCTAACGTCGTGTTGTCTACGGGTGATTCTGCAATATGAGAGTTCAAAGTGTTCCCGGAACAAGTTAACAATTAAGTAATCGATTCATCTTTTGGTCTAATATCAGAAAAAAATAATAAAAAAGCCAATTTACAATTTGCCAGAACTCAATGTGACAAACCAACAATACAAACTCAAAGATTTTATAATGAGAAACACTTCACTTATCAATTAACAGAACGATTGTTTCAGCACTAGTTAATACAGTAATCGCAGGACATCATTAATCTAACCCTCTTCCTCTTCTTCTTCCTCACAGAGATTTCCAGCTGACCAAAGAAATGGTGATGGAGAAGCCAAGTGCCCAGCTGGTCGGGCGAGAGTTTGTCCGACAGTATTACACACTGCTGAACCAGGCCCCCGACTACCTGCACAGGTGAGCCCTTCACCTGCTCCTCGGTCATGTCATAGTTGGTCAGAGTTCAGTGGAACCTCGGCGTGAACACAAACGCAGGATTCCTTTATGTGATGTAATAAACTAACGAGCCTCTTCTGTCCGTCCGCTCAGGTTTTATGGAAAGAACTCGTCCTACGTGCACGGCGGCCTGGACAACAACGGCAAACCGGTGGAGGCTGTTTATGGACAATCTGTAAGTCTTCTTCCTCCACCAGACATTACACTTAAACACGTTAACGTGTTGTTTATCACAGAGCGGCTCTTGCACACGTTAACGTGTTGTTTATCGCAGAGCGGCTCTTGCACACGTTAACGTGTTGTTTATCGCAGAGCGGCTCTTGCACACGTTAACGTGTTGTTTATCGCAGAGCGGCTCTTATGAATGAATATGAAACGAGAAACATTATTTTTGTTCATGACATAATTAAGACTGACACCCCCCCCCTGTCTGCAGGAGATCCACAAGAGGGTGATGGCTCTGAGTTTCCGCGACTGTCACACAAAGATCCGACACGTGGACGCCCACGCCACCCTGAACGAGGGCGTGGTGGTGCAGGTGATGGGCGAGCTGTCCAACAACATGCAGCCCATGAGGAAGTTCATGCAGACCTTCGTGCTGGCGCCCGAGGTCTGTAGTCTCCGCCTGCTGTCAAAGCACACAGTCGGATGTGTTGATAGAAGTTTATCATGTTTAAATGATTATTTCTTCCTCCAGGGAACCGTTGCAAACAAATTCTACGTTCACAACGACGTGTTCCGCTACCAGGACGAGGTGTTCGGAGACTCTGATTCTGAGCCTCCAGAAGGTGAGACGACGTTAAAGACCTTGTTTCATGTTTCTCTGCCGTCTTACTCTTCATCCTCCGTCTGTTATTCAGCTAAAGATGAATTGAGTTCAGAGTTTCTCGTTCATTCTGTAGAGATTGTGTCTCTTTGCTCGGCCGTCTTTTATTCTGTTTAAGAACCTCATCGTGACGAATATCGCCTTTTTTTTATGGACTAGTTTAAATACGTGTATCTTTATTCCATAAAGAGCAGCAGGAGGTTGTTGTGCTGAACATGTTTGTGTGTTTTTCAGAATCTGAGGACGAGGTGGAGATCGAGGAGAGGGTCCCCTCCCCTGACGTCGCTCCGGAGGAGTCCGCCTCCTTCTACGACCCGACACCCTGGTGTGTTCCTCAAGCTGTAACTGCTTCATGTGTTACAACCTTTAAGTCATTTATTTACCTCTACTTCCAAGCTCTGTGTTCAGTCAAAGTGTCACAGATTTGTTGTCACATGACTGTTGGTCTCAGCCGAGTCAATCATGTCTTCTTAGTTGCGCTGAACAGCTCAGAATTTAATGTTTTTTACAGAATCTGGTTAAAACAAACGGTTTATTTGTGGTAAGATTTTAAACGAGACATGTGGAGTAAAATGTTTTTGATGAAATATCGCAAATTTCGTTCGTTCGTTCGTTCGTCACACACGGTGTGTTTCCCATTGTTCAGCAGAGGCAGCAGGTTTGTGTGTGTAACTGTCTCGTACTTCTAGTTCAGAGCCGACGGTTCCTGGAGACGACGACGAGGAGGACGAGGAGGACGAGGAGGAGGAGGAGGAGGAGGAAGAAGAAGAGGCCGCGGCGAGTCCAGAACCGGAGCCGGAGGCTGAGAAGGAGGCCGAGGTCGTTGTTGTGGCTCTGAAGCCAGAGACGACGGCGGAGACGCAAGCGGACACGAACGCATCCGATGACCAGAAAGAGAAAAGCAGCGGAGCTGCGCCCACCGCAGAACCCGCCGCCACGCCTGCAGAACCCACCCCCACCGCCCCAGAAGAAAACAGGGTAGGTCTGAACGAGTGAAACCCGAATGATACCTCAGTGGCACCACGCTCTTCTTAGCAACGGTGTTTCTTCTGAGTGACCTGCTGTAATACTTAAAGACTGAGATGAGCAGCAGCACTAAGTGTCTTCAGTGTTATGTCTCCTCCCAGCCGTTCTCCTGGGCGTCCGTCACCAGTAAGAACCTCCCTCCCAGCGGGGCCGTCCCAGTCTCAGGAATCCCCCCACACGTCGTCAAAGCCCCTCCCACAGCACCGGTAGGTTTGCAAGAGTCTGCTTTAAATATCTCCCAAGATAAATCTGGTGTTCAAATACAGCTTGATTTTAAAACTAGTTTGGATTCCTAATCTTAAGCAGCCATTTTAGTTCTGTGTCAGTAGCCGTCCTCGGGCTACGCTGTTGTGTTGCAGCTTTGTCTTTAGTAGAGATGAAGGCAGCAGGACACAAACGTCTCCTTCTATCTCCTTTATGATGATGAATCCAGCTGCTGTTGATATAAAAGTGAAGTCATGAACCTGGTTCGTTCTCTTCTTACTGAAGTGTGTTGACTCTTTCAGCCCAGAGCGGAGGTGAAGTCAGAGTCCCAGACAGCAGCACAGAGACCAACGAGGGACCAGAGGCCGAGGGAACAGAGGCCCGGAGGTCCTCCACCGGTGCACAGAGGACCCAGACCAGGTACACACACACACACACACACACACACACACACACACGCACACGTAGCTGCAGGAGTGTTCTGAGACGCAGCTCAAAGCATGTGTTCATTAAAACTTTTATCTATGAAAGTGCAGTTTCCGAGGCCAAATGCTTTCTGCTTTGGGACTCGCTGTCAATGTTTTTATTGTTGTACAAGTTAAACTCACTTCAACACCTGCGTTTAGAGACCAAACGCAGCAGATTATGAAGTTTTCTGACGCGTCAACATGCCGTGACGAACTTAAACTCCACACACGAGTAAAGAGTTCATAAACTCAGAATAGAATCTACCAGTCACATTGTCTCAAAGCGTCCCCCTCTGTTGACTTGTTTCAGTTCGGGAGGGCGAGCAGGGCGAGTCCGAGGGCCGCCGGGTGGTCCGGTACCCCGACGCCCAGCAGCTCTTTGTGGGAAACGTCCCCCACGATGTGGACAAGACCGAACTCAAGGAGTTCTTTGAGCGTGAGTTTGATTTTTAGAGCTTCAGAACACGAGATTCCCAAACGTCTGTTTTGTGCCCGTGATGGTAAACGGAGTGTGTGGTCCACAGAGTACGGGACGGTCCTGGAGCTGAGGATCAACAGCGGAGGGAAGCTGCCCAACTTTGGCTTTGTGGTGTTTGACGACTCTGAACCGGTCCAGAAGATCCTCAGCAACCGGGTGAGACGGCTCTTTATTCACGATGATACAGTTCGTATGTTTGATGTTCAGTCTGGACGGACGAATGGAAAAAAATAAACTTGATGAAGCTGTAACGTTGTTTTTGTTTTATCTCTCGTGTCCTCAGCCCATCAAGTTCAGAGGCGACGTCCGGCTGAACGTGGAGGAGAAGAAGACCCGGTCTGCCCGGGAGGGCGACAGGCGGGACATACGGCCCCGCGGTCCAGGAGGTCCCGGCGGGCCCCGAGAGCGGATAGGAGGAGGAGGGGGTGGCGGTGGTGGCGGTGGAGGAGGAGGAGGAGGAGGACCCCGAGGCCCCCCCACCCGCGGAGGCATGGCACAGAAACCCAGCTTCGGCTCCGGGCGGGGCGCGGGCCCCAGCGAGGGCCGCTACTCCACCCAGCGCCAGTGAGAGGAAACCTGTTGGGCTCCAAACCTGAGTTAGATTAACGAATACAAACGATGGTTTTTGATTTGTTGTTTTTTTTTTTTTTTTTTTTTTTTTTTGTTTTTTTTTACCGCAGCAGGAACCAATTAGACAAATGTAAAATATAACAGAAAACTCTTCTTTACGCTGCAGCTTAGGAGCAGAAACGAGTTCATTTCAAGTCAGAGTTTAAGTCGCTACACACACACACACACACACACTCTCTCTCGTTCTCTCCTGAGCGTGCTAGTATTCTGAAGAGCTTTCTGTTAGTTATTGACGCCGGTTTGGTTGAGAGCTTTCACCGTCAAATCCCACCAGCTCCTGCTAACTTCAACCACCAGTCTCTCCATGTGTCTCATGAAGAAGGCTGCCTCCTCCTCCTCCTCTTCTTCCTCACCTGCTGCTTTTTGTTTCCCTCTGAGGAATCCAGAATGTCACTATTTTTTTTTTTTTTTTTTTAAACCCATCTCTTCCTCCACCAACACATGTATTATCTGGACTCTTCTTCTTTTGTCTTTTTATGGGTTTTTTTCACGCTGAACTTGAATTTATTAGGAAACAAATGTCAAAACACGCAAAAACACATGAAAGAAAAAAGAAGGGGTAAATACTACTTGAATTGGGGATTAAAAAAAGCCAGAGGTTAGGTTTTTTTTTTTCGCGTTCTCTCTCCCTGTTTCTTAAAGGAACGTGTACTTTACTGCTTGGGCAATCCTGTGTATTGCTGCCACCGTTGTATCGAGCGATGGATCTGTCTTATCTTTTTATTCTATCAGGTCAAGAGCTGAACTGTAGTGGTTTTTATTTGAGTAATGTTGGCTTGTCTCACGTGGATTCACGGACGCACCTGAACGGAGCATGTATATCGCATCATGAATGAAATCCTGTCAGGCTTCTACTACCAATGCACTTCATTCATCATGTTTAAAGAAACGAGCTCACCTGCCGATGAGAGAACTAAATTAAAAGTGATTTACTGTTTTAAACCTTCTGTGTTTCATCTTGTTTTACACTGTGTGTGTGTGTGTGTGTGTGTGTGTGATGCTGAGTATCAAACCTGGCAACCATGTGGATGTAGAATCAAACTCAAGTAGAGCTGCTGAAGCTTATGTCACAGTGTTTAAGAGACTTAAACTGGGACCAGACCACCAAGACACAGTCCCACTATAAGAAGTATTCAGTGGTCAGATTTATTTTCATAACTTGTAGGATGTTATTAATGTACACTGGTTCAGATTAGATTTTAAGGTGTGAGGTAGGACGACATTACTGTATCAAACACCTTTATTGAGCATATTTCATTAGTTTTCACACAAATACTTTTTGGATATTTCTCACTTTTATAAACAATTTTTAACCTTTTAATACGTTTTTGAATATTTTTTTATAAAATTGAATAACTTTGGACATTTTCACAATTGTTCCACATTGTTCACTTTAATTTTTACAATTTAATTTCTGGATATTTTTCACTGTTTTCTGACAGTTTTCAATCATTCACATAAAAGCATGATTTTAGGCGGTGTTGGTGTAAATGTGGTCAACTTGTAATGCAGTAAAATACTTCTTAGCTGTAGTATGTGCTCGTTACTTTATGGCCACAGTACATTCTCATAAATCATGAACAGTAGACACGTTTCATCTACAGCTGAACATTAATAAGGTAACTGGTCCAGTTTATATGTTTCACTGCAGCTCATCACCTGAACCGTGAACCCACCTGCTGGTGGACCTGATAGTGATGACGTCATTAAAACAGATCATGAACCGTTGAGACGTTTTCACAGACGGACGGATGAACACGATGAATGATGGCTGAGTACCATTTAGCTGCTGGATACAGTTCAATAACTCAAAGATGCAGTAAAGAGGATTAGTAAAACAAATACTGACTATTCAGGAACAAATTACACAAATACAAGTTAATGTAGTCAGGTTAGTTTAATGTTCAACGTCATGATATATATGTATATGATATAAGATATACCTCTGAGATGTACAGTATAAAGTACAATATGTACCTCTGAGATGTACAGTATAAAGTAGAATATGTACCTCTGAGATGTAGTGTAGTATAAAGTACAATATGTACCTCTGAGATGTAGTACAGTATGAAGTACAATATGTACCTGAGATGTAGTGTAGTATAAAGTACAATATGTACCTCTGAGATGTAGTACAGTATAAAGTACAATATGTACCTCTGAGATGTAGTACAGTATGAAGTACAATA